AGGGAAAATGTACTATGACGAAATAATGCTACTTTATATATATAATTGAAATTATCAGATTCTTCTTAAGAAGTTTTGATGACATTGATAATGCCTATTTCTTATTCAGACGATGTACAGTATCATTAGTTCATTTTAAACAGTTTTCCTTTTCTGAGTGTGTATTATAAACTCTTCCCAATAACATTGAAACAATTAAAAGAAGTACAATGTATAAAGAGAATGCAAACCTCCAATATCAATCACAATATGAGTAATGCCGGAAGGGCTTTGAAGTTGTCTTTTATTGGAGTCTGCCTCATAATCATCAAACTGTGATGTTAAATATGCCATCGTTGCTGCTGATTCGTCTACTACATGTATTTTAGATAGTTCAGCCTGAAATAAAAATTGTTTGCCTGTCAATTTCCTTATTTCGTGTTGGCATATTTAACATTAAAGAAATAGTAACACGTACATAATTATCAATACGGATTAGCATTGGAATGCGTGTAACGAAAATCATTCATAGTACTTTACTTAATTGATTTGTATGAATTAAATTGCTACATGATGTGGACATAATGCACAGGAAAACTACATCTAAACTCAAAGCTAATACCAATCTAATACATTCAGTTCTTTTCTAATAAATAGCTCATTACAAGTTTTTACTATTCCAGCAAAAGAATTTTGACAATTTAAAAAATGTAATAAGATTAGAAATAATAACTAGATATAAGCATCCTTATCCTGTACAACTTTTACTCCGTTCAGTTTTCAAATTTGTTATACTGTAGTTATCATTTTTAAAGTATGTATTCTAACATACTTCACCATTTCCCCTATTAAACTTACAGAATATTAAACAATACATGCACGACAATTAAAAGGAATGCTTTCACGTCATATGGCTTAAACGAGTAAAGAAAAGGTCATGGAAAATACTTTTCGCTCAATGTAGTTCAACATATTTGATTAATTCTCTTTCTTTTTCTATTTAAGCAATTAGTTGGTATGAGCAGTACTTTTCACTTTTTCAAACCTGGATTGCTGATTGTTCCATTAACAGTTTTTCATCACTACATCTTTCACCAACCACAGTCAGTACCCAATAAACATCCCCTTCTTTGATGTTAATGTTTCGTTTACGTATATTTTCGAGCATCATTCCTTTTAGATATCTTAAGACTGCAGCTAATACATCACACGCTAGCATTGTTTTGCCTTCTGACTCTGTCAACTCTGTTTGAATTGTTTGCTCTAATGTGTCCTGCAATATAAATCACCAGTAAAAGTTATACCGTGTTCGTCAGACTGTGTAAATCACGAATTTTAATATACATGTATACATATTCAATCCATTTTGTTAATGAAACTATTACCTTGTTCAACCTTATTTGATACATAAAGCTTTGAAAAAAGAACCACTCTTGGTGAATATTCTTTCTTTTGAGATCTTGGTACATTTCTTCCGCTTCAAATCCAAATGTTTTGAGGATTCCAGTTTTGTCAAACAGTGCTGCTGAAGGAACTTTGTGGCACTCCATATTTGTCGTACCTTTCGATTTCCAATCACTTATGTTCATTTTATCCTCTTCCACGCTGAAAAAAAAACTTTACAGGAAATATATGACCCTTTTATCTATATAGATGACTAGAAATTTCATTACTAAATTCCTGGATGATTTTTTTTAAAATTTATTGGCTATCTTATTGGGCACATCCAGTGTCATTCGATAAGGCGATAAGTTATCTCAGGAAATAACGCACTCGAAATCTAGTGTTGTTATCACCTGACAATTCATTTTTACATTTAATTCTTCAGAATGATGTGCAAGAAGATAATACTGAAACGATCAATGGAAAATACAGTATGAAGGTATCATTCTAATTTTAACAAATATAATAAGGCAGTATGTACCTATTTGACCACGCCCATCCCGTATATGATGTACCAAAGTCAATACTGCCAATTATTTGCCTCTGGTTGTAAAAAGAGTCACTCTAAAAATGTTAATATTTTTGAATTAATGATTTTCCTTATACATGTATGTGTTCTTGATCTAGTTTTCATTTATTAATTGAGTTCAAAATAATTAACACCAACCTTTTTCGAATTTCAACATGTATGCAAAAATTAATTTACATTGAGTCACAAAGCCTTTCAGACAAGTCTTAGAAAAAATAATGTAACACATTTTTATCTGCCCTAATGTTTAATAAAAATACTACATCGAAAAGCATGAAACAGACTTCTTCAATCTGACAGTCATACGTAATAATCACTCTTGCTTTTAGATAATTCAACGTAAATATTTAATTCTTTTAATTTTGAGATTTTACTATTGCCAAACCGCCTCTTACATCACCACCCACTCTTGAAAACCCAATTCGTTCGTGACACGAAGGCCTGTCGTTAATTTGGTAAACATCGCACAAAAAGTTTCGCATCGGGGGTTTCCTGACTTGTTTTTGTCTGATTTTGTTATCGTTCAGCTTAACGTCTGAACTGGTGGATTATGACTGACATTGGGTTACGACTATGAAAAGGGTGTTTGGTCATACATCATCAAACCAATCATCAAACAAATGAAGCACATTTTTGTTTCAGTATTCTATTTTTAATCTTCTTTAGTTTTGGTCATAGGTCTCTCATTTATTTTGCACAAACATAAACATAAGTAAAAGATAAACAAGAGCACAGCAAAGGCGGGGCTGTATACTCCCGAATGTAAATGTGTTGAAGTACTTTCAATTAGGGAAGATACTCAATAAAGAAACTGGTCTGAAAAATGTTTTATTCTATATATATCAGACCATAATGACTTCAAGGGCGGGGGCATTTTTACCCTAAGTACATAATTCATTAATGTTTTAATAGAGGACTACTAGGCAATGCTATGTGCCAACTATAGAAGATCTGGGTACAGTAGTTATCCATAAAAAGATATGTTTTCCTATACATTAGTTTAAAGAAGCTAGTTACTCCCGGGGCAGGGCCAAATTCGACCCGAGGGTCATGAATCAAATTCGACCCGAGGGTCATAAATGATATAACCTTAATAGAAAACTACAAATCGATGCTACATGCTAAATATTTACGCTCTGTGCATTGTAATTTCACACAATAAGCCTTAATTTTTTTACCTTCTATAAAAGTTTGTATAAATTAAGTGACCGTCGGCGCGAATCAAATATTGGTCCAAGAGACATGATTAAAATTAATATCAGTTTTTTGGAGGACCACAAGGAAACACTACGTGCCAAATATCTAAAATGTGGGCATTGCAGCTTCACACGATAAAACTTAAATAAGTCTCCTTTATAAATCTATATAAAACAAGTGACCACCGGGGCGGGCCAATATCGACCAAAGAGGTATAATTAGAGGCCAACAAGGCAATGCTACATGCTAAATATCTTAACTCTATGCGTCATAGTTGTAAGATTTAAATGTGCTTTCCTATACAATACTATATGACCTAATTGGCCCTCGGGGCGAGGCCAATATTGACCCAAGGGACATGATTAATACTAGTTTTGTCGTGGTCCAAAAAGTAATGTTTCATGTAAATATCTAAGTTCTGGACTTTGTAGTTATACACAAAAAGTGTTGTCCTATATGAGTCTATATAAATTGAACCCAGGGGCATGATTATTTTTTGTAGACATTCACAAGGGAATCTAACATGCTTAATATCTAAGCTCTAACACTGTAATTTCACACAATGAAACTTGTGTTTGAAATGTGTTTTCTAATATAAGTCTATATAAATCAAGTAATCCCGAGGCGGGCCCAATTCTGATGTTAGGAAGCTCAAACCTGTGTTCTGCACGTTGTCACATTTAAAGTAATATTTCTGCCAACTAGTTTTGATTTTTTCTATCGGTCCAAAAGATACAGAGCAGCACGAAATTTTAAAATTTATACAAAATGACTAGGTGTGACCTTGACCTGAGGAAGGTCAAACCTGCTTTCTGCACATGTAGTTTTAGTTTCCTGTCATCGATTCAAAACATATAGACCGGACACGAAATTGACGACCAGGTGCAAAACAACAAACGTCGACATTTTTTCAGGGCGTATAAAAAGGCTATAATTTGATTCCAAAATGTGTAAATTCTTTGATATGAAAATGATTAATGAATCTATCAATGTCATTTGTATATAAAAACGATATACATGTATATATAAAAATATGTTTACCTTTTCCACTATTTCGTATTTTTCTGGTATTTCAGCCTTTTCAATTTTCTCTGGAGCGCCTGATTATCAATCAGAAGAAAATATTGTTGACAATACCAAATCAAAACGTTAATAAAGGACAACAAAATTATAAGAATTATTATAAAAACGAATTGCAAATAAATAAAAGTTAAAGATTTCAAAAGAGTTAAACAATTAATTCATTTTAGTTTCAGCATTTGTCGTTAAGTCATTGTCGTGATACATTGTACAATGGTTCTTATAACTGACTGTTTCTTGAAATTTCATGGCTAGTATATTTATTGCGAACACCTTTTTGTTAATATAATTTTTGCATTTGTTGTAGTATTAAGTCATCCTAGGAAATTAACTAATATGTGTCGAATTGTTCGCTCAATTAGTGCATGGTTTTAAGTTTTAAATTGTAAGTACTTTCCTTACGAGATTAATTTCTATCGCTGTTTAAGATAAGCTCTATTATCCGAAATTACTCATTAATATATTTCCTAGTACCTGTTAAATAAAAGGAAAAATAGAATTCGAATAGTTTGACCATGTACTTTTGGCAAGACTAACTAAGACAAATAAAATATGTATGCCAAAATAACATAGGTGAGAATAAAATGGAAGACGGTTTAACGACGAAGGTATATTGTGTAATAATACTTTTTTATTTAACTGTTATCATGAATAATCATTATCCATTCAGGTAGTGTTCCCAGCGATTCATTGCATACAATTGCTTTGTTTTAACCTCACCCCGAGTACAACGTGCTCAGAGGTGAGCTCTTGTGATGGCAGTGTGTTCGTCGTCCGTCGCCCGTCGTTGTCCACAATTTCTTTAAACAACATATTTTCCTAAACTACACGATGGATTTGACCAAACCTCACAGGAAAATTATATAGGTGGTCATCTACAACAGATCTATATATGCTCCCATTCTGATGCATATGAAGGTCATAGCAGCTAAAAAGACTTTTGATATGAATCTTTAAAACTTCTTCTCAAAGACTATAAAGCTTAGATATTTGACATGTAACCTTTGCCTAGTGGACCTTTATCAAGCCCGTGGATGAAAAAATTGCCTTGCCCTTTGAATCACAATGAATTGGGATGTAAAATGTCTTTAAAACCTTCTCTGAAAGTACACTGTTCAGACCTTAGATATTTTGCATGTAACATCTCCTTGCAGCTCTCTACAAAAGTGACAATTTTCATGCCCTGAGGTCAAACCTGACCCTGTCCCTGAGTCACTTAGTTTATATAGACGTGTATCGGAAAATATAACCGAGTCTTCTTTTGTGTAACTAGAGTAGTTTAGATATTTGGCATGTAAGATTGCTTTGTGAACATCTACAAAAGTTATAAAAGTCATGCACCTTTGGGCCCAGTCCTTACGTGTGGTCACTTAGTTTATCATATACCAGTGTATTAAAAGCATCTTAAACCTTTTCTGCTTGGTATTTTGTATGAAGCAAACATCAACTTATGATACAAAAGTTATATAAATCATGCCTCTTGGGTTTATTGGCCCCGCCACGGGGATCACTTAGTTCATATTGACCTGTATAGTAAAATACATTTGAAACTACAATGAATGGTCATAGCTTAAATATTTTGTGTATAGCTTTGCAGAATGGATTTTCACAAAGTATAAGACATGCCTTTTTTGGGTCACTTGCTTTACTGAAACTTGTATAGTAGCATGTCTTTAAAATATTCTTCATTGAAAGAACAATGCCCAGAGTTTAGATACAGTCGAATCTGAATAGATGACAATCTGTCAATAACAGCCAGCTAAAGTAATACACGCCGAAATTAAAATTGGTTTGAGTAATCAAAAATAAACTTTCAGTCAGGGAAGGGACCCCATTCATGCAAATTCACCAAGATGTTAATCTAAATTATTCTTATATTTCTAAATAACCCCCAGTGTTGGTGCATTTTCACCTTTAGGACATGATTCATAAAACCTTTATAGCGGTAAACTATTCAATGCTGCATGCCAAATATATGCGCTTTGATCACTTTAGGTTTCCACAAACATATTTGATGTGTTTTCTTATACATTATGTCACGGTTTAGAATTGTCCTCTGTTTAGGAGAGAAAATGTGTAAGCGGCCGGATACCTCACAAAGCTCAGACTTTAATTCACATTGATCTGTATCCGAGCAATTGAAGGAGACTTTCAACATTAAATGTGCTGTCTAACAAGGACTCTCAGAATACTGTTCCGCGGGGCCCTACAGACTTAGCTATCAGGCCGCTTACACATCTTATTCCCCAAACAGTGAATAGTTATGAACTATGACATACTCTCCCCGCTATTGAAATTCGCCCTCTAACTTTTCAGGGTTACATATCAATGTGAATTAGACTCTGAGCTATATGCAGTCACGGCCCCGTGTTGGACTCCAAATGTTACAGGGCGAGAAAAATGTGCAGCCTGACCGGTAAACGAACTCGGGTCCCTCGGAATACCGTTCCGCGGCATTACCAAATGACTAAGCTATCCGGCCTCTTCTTAATAGAGAATAGCTCTTAATCGTGACATACGTTCTGCTATTATGAAATTAGTCCTTATATTTGTCATGGTTACAGAGCAATTAGAATTAAACTCTGAGCTATAGGCAATCACGGCCTCACGTTGGGCGCCAACTAAATAGTGAGCAGATTTGAATCGTGACACTTCAATTTTCATAAGGCATGTGACTCCTAGGGCAGAGCAAATTTTGACCTCAAGGTCATGGTAAATATAACCTGTAGAAGACTACAAGTTGTTGCTACATGCAAAATCAAAGTTCTGGGCTTTTATAGTTTAGGCGTAAATAATTTCAAGATATGTTTAGTTTTGTTAAGTCTACATAAACTAAGTGCCCTCAAGGGTAGGGCCAATTTTTACCCCAGGATCATGATTTATCTTACTTTTGTGGAGGAAACTAAATAATGCTACATGTCAAATATCTATTCTAGGCATTTTCGTTTACACAATAAAACTTAAATGTGTTAACCTATATACTTCACTGTTAACTAAGTGAATCCCGGGGCGGGGCAAATATTAACCTTAGATGTTTGATATGAATCAGTCTTGTGGAGGTCGATAAGACAATGATACATGTTTTAAGTTCTGGGCATTGTAGTTTTACAGACTTAAATGTCCTTTTTCCTATAGGAGGGCTGTTCGATGAATCCGAGGAATGTTACAGTAACGCTTTTATTTTCTATTGTTTTATCTTATAGTTTATATTTAACGTTATTATGTATAAATGTTATGTGTAAACAGAATATTCTCAAAATACTCGTAATGAAAGTTCTCCATGTCTTGCTTGTTACCTTTTGCTTTTTTACCGTTACTATTCTTTCATTATCATTGAAAAAAATAAGAGGTTAAAACACGGCAGAGTAGTGCCGGAAGATGATAATCGGCCCGCAAAATGAATAATAGCCGCGATGGCTTCATACTTCCGACCCATCTAAGACGAGTATCAATGTCTTTTATACACTTGATAGTAGCACTATCTTTAATAAGATCTATTCTGATATTTCTGTTGAAATTCCCCTCTCTGTACTGTGTTTTACAGATACTTATACAAAGTTGCTTCCCTTATTTGCATACAAACTTACAAAGTCCAATACAGTCCTGTAAAAGTCTCTTTGAATAAAGTTGGAGTTTTTTCCCTTTATTTTTCATTCTAACACTCCACGTGATTTTGTCACTATAGACAAAAAAAAAAACCCGGTGTTCAACTGCCAATAAACACTGGTTAATGACTACTTGTATATTCGGCTATTATGTTTTCATCCTCGAATATATAGTTTACAAAACCTTTTAAAGCAACAATAAAAAGCATGTTTATTTATTATATTTTCAGTTCTTATATTGTTTTTTTTTCCATATAATGCTGAAATAATATCTCACGTACACTAACGTCTCAGATTTGATCCATATCAGTTGATAAAAATTTTGACAAAACGGCACCAATACGTTAGCGACGTAATGACGTCATCGTTAGAAAACAACTCATGAATGACGACATTTTAAACTGACAGAGCGATTAATCAAACACTGATGTTAACACAATAAAATCCAGTCTAACACGTAAGTTTTACTTGTTGAAAACTTGATAAAATAACTTTTTCGTTTTATTTCTTTTGTTTAATAATTTCTATATCTTAGCAACAGAAGTGTGCGAAATCGAACAGCGTTTTATGAAAATCGGCATCGGGTGTTATCTCCGCTTGAAAAAATAACATTGATGATCTTCCTTATTTTGTCTTGTTAGAATCGAAATAATATCGGTGTAAGCGGTGTTTAACGGCTATTTCTTAAAAAAATGTGTTTGTACAAATAATGCTTAACTTGTAACAATAAAATCAAGCGATCTGTGGTGAAAACTTTCACTTTACAGCTAGCTGTTTCGGTGATGAAAATATGACGTCATTTTTTCACTTTTTGCACGTTCTAATGTTCAGTTGGCCGATTACACCCATAATCAGTTGACTCATAGGCAATTTTGTTACTATGTATATGTTAGTGTTCATCCTTGCTGTTCTACAGAAATTAGAAACTTCGACGGAAGCGGTAACCAAATTTCTGTAGAACATCTACGGATGAATACTAACATATTTAGTGTCAAACTTTATTTGGCCTCATTATTATTTACTTTATTACGTCATTATGCCGTTCTATGAAGTACTATGAAAAATAGTAGTCGACTATGAAAGAAATTCGATATAGTATCGACTTTTCTTCTTCTATGAAAATTAACGCACATAATTTTTAAGAAATACAGCGCTTTCATTGGATGACAAATAAAGTTGGACACTAAATTTTTAAGCAAGTGTATTAACATAATTTTCGGAAAAGAAAAAAATGGTGCGACATAAACAGACGTTCAAGTAACGTCCTGACGTCATTTCCGTGAAAAGTCGTTGTTATCATAGTAATCGTTACGGAAACAGTGACATTTTAGTGTCGCAGATGCTTGCCATTTTTTTGTCGTGATGACGTCATTAAAAGTGCAGGTTTGGCTAGGTAATGAGACGGTAGACATGATCAAACAGTCGGCTACTACCCGTTCTTGCAGCAAATCATTTGTATACAAGTGGCATTAACGGTTTTCGAAAGGCAGAACTTCGGATAAAGACGATCCACACCAAGGAAGAACTGTGACGACGTCGATATTTGACTTAGTTTATGCTGATCGGCGAAGTTCTGATGACCTGGGCGCATCCTGCTCTACCTCCGTATTTTGATTCCTTTGGATGTCGAAATCACAAATGTGCAACCATAAGCGGTTATTACGTTGAAAAAGAGCGACACTCACATATTTTATGAATGACGTTGACGTTGATTCAAATTTGGTGCCTGGCAATGTATGTTTCATAGTGTTAGTTAAATGTATGTAACTATGTAATAAATTGATATATTTGAAATAAAATTACAGGGTCTGATGTAAAAATCTTTTGAATCGGTTTCTCCTAACAAATCAACGATAAACTTCTTCGAATATTTCGATCATCCCCGTATTAGTCTTTATAAATCAGGGGCCAGGGAAACATTAACCCAGTTTGCAAATCAGTTTTGTGGAGGTCATCAAGACATTACTACATGATAAATATCTAAGCTCTGGGCATTGTAGTTTCACAAAATAGGACTAAAATCTATATTCTCTATAAGCCTATATAAATCAAGTGCCCCCGGGGGTGGGGAGGGGGGGGTCAATATTGACCCAAGGAGCAGAATTGATATCACATTTGTAGAGGTTCACAAGCAATGCTACAAGGCAAAATCTAATCTCTGAGTATTGTAGTTTCACAAAATAAGACTTAAATGTGTATTTCCTATATAAAGCCGATTCAAATCAAGTGATCCCTGGAGCGGGGCCAATCCTAGATCACATTATAATTAACATTTCTGCCACATAAATTTAGTTTACCGATTCAAAAGATACAGAGCGGACACGAAATTGCTAACAGACGGACGGACGGACAGACTGCCATGTACTTAACAATATATGCTGAGCCGTTGTCCGGTGTATAAAAAATATGCAGCTTAGGTAAAAAGTATCAAGGGTCATAATGCCTTTTTATTGATATTCCTGCTCGTTTTGATTTGGTGTATGGTTTGTTTAAAGCTTCTTTGTTAAAGTTTAAAGTTCGTTGAAATAAATTCGCAAGATCTTTGAGCTTTAAGCGTAGTATTACCTACTTTCATAAATTACAAACATGTCAAAATTCTATTCATGCACATTATTAACTGTTTTTGAACATGATCCCTTACTTCATTTACTTAAATTCATTTACCAGGGCTATCTTTTTTTGAAGCTGTTTCAAACTTGTCTGCTGGTGATTCGTCTTGTTCATGTCCTTGTTTATATCTTCCAGACATAACGTATTCATTCATATCATCTTTTCTTTTTGTAGGAAATGATTCAGGCACGGTAACCATAGATGCAACAGATTGTGACTTTCCATTCTCTTTGTGACTTTTGTGTTCTTTTATTTCATATCTAGAGACATTTTTCTCCAAATCTTCTGCTACAAAAGATTTTAAAAATTGAAATGTAATTATCATTTTACATAGATTCAATATTACGGGTTCAAATTGAAATGATTTTAGAAATAATTATACTTTATATTATCGTAACAGATACATTCATCATTGCAAATGGTCAATGTTAGACGATATTGACCTGTTCTTTGATAACTGTGGACTTATACACGTCATGATTGGAAAGCATAATTCTTGGAGATAATTAACAAGATAAAACCATACGCAAATTCCAAGATATTCAAATGTTTATTCTGAAAAACAAATTTGATTATTAGAACACCTCGGAAAAACTGAAATTATTTACCAATAGTTGTCAAGATCCTCCAAAATTCATCTTTCAAGATAATTACTTCGAGAGAAGTATTTTCATAACCGTCACATCTTCTGACTGCTGTTTCAAGTAACTGGATGTTCTCATCAAGAATACCTTTTACGTAGTCTCGAAAAAGAAGTAGCAAAGAAACTAGTGAAACGCATCGGATATTCAGTACGACACAATTTTCATGGACGTTGAATATTTGTCTGCCGTTGCTTAAAAATATCAAGACTGTATCAATAACAGCTTCTCTCATTTTATGTCGCATCTCATTTGATAACTCTTGGAAATCATCATACTTTGTTTCAATAACGTCGTTAAAAATGCTAACCATTTCTCGTGAGATGACCTTGTCCCTATCTGTAGTACAGTTTTTGACAACAATTCTTATTCCAACATCTGAAAGGAACCAATGTTTATGTAATGTAATTTTGGATGATGCAGTCCAATATGTAGTCATATATCATTAAGTATGCTGGAAACACAGTAAAATCATCAACATTATGTGGGATTGGCAAACAATAAAACAACAACAATCGAAACAAAGCAAAAGGGCAATATATTTTTGTATGAATAAAGACCATGAATATTAATTTTATTCTATGTGATGAACATGCATACATTGAAAATTATTTCATACATACAAACATTTGTACTGCATATCAATAAAACGATGTTTTATTAAGACCATACAGTTTCTCAGCATTTGTTAGCACTTATATAGTTTTCCGGCACCCCGCCCATCCTTCCATCCCAACTGTTTGTCCCGTCCATAACTTTGTCATTTATGGATTGATTTTAAAATATATGTAAACATGTGAAGCACATTGACTTAATACGCCTGTAGCTCAAAGGTCAATGTCACACTCTAAAGGATTTTTTTATAAAAATGCACTGATGTTCGAATACGGTTCTGTATTGACTTTAAAATTATTATGTATAAATGTGCATGTTGAATATTATGAAGACGTGCCGCGCACAAGAATCAGGTCCCTTACTCAAATGGCACATTTGTATTCAAAGGTCACGATATAATTTTTTACAAGCGTTGGTTTGGGTCAACAATTCTGTCATTCCTAGTATGGCGAGGTGTCGCGCACATATAACAGGTCTCAGTCATATTTGCAAATCAAAGTAATGATATTTTTATAGAGCTGCACTGTTGTTACTCACTCGTGTATTGATTTTAAAATAAATTGGCATAAATGAAGTATACACGATGAATACATGTCGCATGCGATTATCATGCAAGTTCAAAGGTCATGTCCGGCAAACAATTCTGTCATTTCTTGATGAACTTAAAGACAAAACTTGGCATAAATGTTTTAAATATGATGATGACGTGTTGTGCATGGGTGTTAGGTATTCTGGTGAACAAATGGTCTTATCGTGTACAAAGTTTTGCTATTCATAGAAGGACTTCGAAATAAATATGTTCATGTATAAATATACTGCTTAATAGGATGACAAGTTGTGAACAAAATTTAGTTTCCCAGCCAAAAGGTCAAGTTCATTGGCATGGATCCAAAAATGATATGATATGATAGTGCATGATGGTCATTCCAGTCCATATCTTTGTCATTCAGTGCATTTATGGCCATCTTTAGTAATACATTATGTCATTCACGAATGGATTTTGAAATTACTAGTCATACTTTTGTTGAATATTCGGAAAACTTGTCACACAAAAACGTCAGAAAGGCAGCTAAAATATGAAGGTTATACTTGGGTGTCAAAATAGTGTGTTGATAGTTGTAAGTGGTCATTTCTTTGTCATTCATTCATGGATATTTTTTTAATAACTGGGCTTACTAAAATATAACAAAGTATTTGTTTATGAATGTATGTTCTTGTAACACTCTTTTTATTGCAATCATGCCTTTGATGTAAGTCAAAGGTCATTCAACGTTGTCTTGTTATTGAAATACATATGTTCAGTTTGAAATTCTGCCATGTTATAACCTATGTTCGACATTGACAGGTATTTAAAATCTAAATAATGTCAATCAATTCAATGAAACATTTTCAATAAACTTATACATGTATATAGACATACATTTAAATTTCGATTTCTGTTGTATATTTACCTGGAACTGTAAGGGATTGACTTTTTGATGCAAGTACAGGTTCTATCCGTTCAAGTAATTCAATAGTAGTTTCTAATTTCCTCTCTGTAGGCTCTACATGAAATGAGAGATATCGGTACATATGTTAATATGAATAAAATTAAGAAAGATAATGTAGAGATGCACATATCTGTCACATTTCTTCACATTTTCGTTTAATTAATAGAATTTATATGTTAACTTACTAGAACACATTTGAGTAAAAGCATAATTTTACAAATGTTTAGCTACTTCATTTAAATGACAAGCATACATTTAAAATGGCTGCGTATTCAGAAGCATAAACAGACTGACATTTTGAAACAATTTAGGAATTAGTAGGCCCATATTAGTCTGATTTATTAGAAGAAAGATTAATTGTTGCACTAACCATCTCCAAAGTGACCACGTTTTCCAAGTGAAGCTCCCATAGCCGCTGGTTCAGTTTCTTGTTCTTCATTTTGGAAAATAGTCCCTCTTTCTATTTTCTGAAACATGTCATGAATTTCCTCTGCAAGTTGTTCATCTTCAATTTCTTTAAGACAATGACCAAGTGCAACTTCTACCTTTGTTTTTTGATATTCAAATTTTGTGTCATCGATTTTCTGTGAACTCATATGAGCAAGTTTGTTTCTAAGTTTTCTTAAATCTTCTACGTACATTCTTATAACGTTATTCAGGTCGCATGTAGATAATAATATAAAAATTGTCTGATTTATGTCCCATTTATCAAAGGATGTTTGTGTTGGTTTTTGGCTTGAATCTAACGGGAAGTATACCCATTCATTCTCTCTTCCGAAACGCTCATTTAATATTTTGACTTTATTTAGATCTAGAAAAGAATCAATATTCCAGTTAGAAGGGTTACAATTAGCAGGTTTTAAATCGCAAATACGTTTTTTAGCAAGTGCTTTAGTAACTTTTGTTCCACCCGTTACAACCATGTGTGTTAGAAGAGAATGTCTCAGTGGATTATCTCTTGTAGTGTCCATATCATGTCTAGTTTCTTCATCCCATGCAGCTGGAATGTCTGAAATATATTGACACAAACATTAAGTTAAACTGAGTGGCAGAATGGCCGAGCGGTTAAGCACATTGCTTTTACTGGCTGGTTACTGGAACGGTTTCGCGAGTGTTTCAATAACCTTATTATACCTTCCAATACATCCCAACTTAAGTGAATTCGTGTAAACTAAAAGTTTAATATGATATCATGCGTACAATTGTTTTTATAGAAACAGAAAAATAAAAGTTTGTCGTTGAAAATAATGTTATATCGCTATTAAAGAAATGAAAATTGAATTTTTCGGACATTTCATTGACCATAATGTCGTAAACTACTAGAGGCATACTAACCTTATATTCACTAAGTATATAGAAACATATGGTGTAAAACATATTTAAGCGTGGAATCCTACGATGTTCCCGTTAGGGCCATCGCGACACATAAATAACTCGAAACAAGAAAATACGATGATGAAAAGCCGAACGAAACCACGACGGTAAAAAGTTGAAACTACGATGATGAAAAATCTAAAGAACGATGGTGCAAAAATCGAGATAACGAAACGAAAAAACGAAACCATGATGGTCAAAAGTAAGATGCAGATAACACGAAATATTATAGATGTTTTGTTATTTCCACTTTTCACCATCGTATTTTCGCATCCCTGCTAAGCATGAGCACCGAATAACAATCAATATAAAGATGTTTACAATTGTATCCTTGGTAAAAACACTTTCTAATAAAGTTTCCTTTTAAAAGGAAAGGCTTGCACAGTTGTGCCTTCATCCCAACATATTTACTGTAGTTGTTTTTATTTTTGTAAAAATGAATATTTTTATATTTTTATTATTTTATCTATAGATCATCACGTGGTAAGGTTAATGATATGCATGGGCTATTTTTAGATTGTCTCACCAAGTTCAGTAGATCTAAATATAACACGATCATGCACGATTCTGTGTAATTTGGACCACCCTTTGAAGACGGAATACTACTACAGTCAACATCCTCTATTGTATAAAACTAATACAGACAAAAAACAATTATAAAAGAAACTAACTTAAAAATTACGTCTTGAAAAAGAATTGAAACGGAACAATTTTGTTTATAATTTATTACGGTTTAAATCAATAAATCAAGTAAAAATACGAATCCTATTTATATAAACAAACTGGGATTACCGAAGTAACTAAAATAGCTTAGATTTCCGTAATATTACTTCGTCTGATTCCGCAGTATGACGGAATCGCCCGAATTGTCACGATTGCAATCGGAACTACATCGGCTATTATCATTAATCCGAAGAGTGACGGAAAAGGCCGTAAAGTTGCGATTGGCACGATTGTAGCTGGTTTCCCGTTCAATCATGCACTTACAAATGTAAGCAGAAAACCACCTAACCGGAACAAGTTTTCCATATGAAATGGCTTGCAGCCGTGGCTGCAAGCCAAAAACGTCATCCACTGTAATGATCTCATTGCGCATGCCTGAGAGAAAGGCGATACAACAATGATGAAAAGTCGAAAGTTTTATGGCCAAAAGTAAAAAAAAAACAAAAACGTGACCACTATAGTGGAAAGTCGAACATTCGATGATGAAAAGTCGCAAGTACTATAGTAAAAACTCGGAATAACGAAACAACAAAACCACGATGGTGAAAGGTCGAAAGTAAGATGATGAAAACACGAAATTATATCGATTTTTCACCATCGTGGTTTCGTGATTTCGACTTTTCACCATTATACTTTAGACCTTTCATCATCGTATTTTCGCCCTTTTCACAATCGTGGTATTGTTATTTCGACTTTTCATCAACGTATTTTCGGGTTTTTGTTGTTTCGAGTTATGTGTGTGTCGCAATGGCGAAAACGGAACACCGTATGATCCGATGTTCTCTCTTTACAATTGTAGAAAATTGTTCTCTATTATTATTCTGTATGAATGGAACATTTATCGTAACACAATGAGTTTCAGATTATAACTGCTCCCAAAAGTTAGACACGCATGAATGATATACAATACACAAGTCCTACACAATAACAATCATAGATAAACTGATAATATTGCTTTGTATTAACTTCAAAATGTTTTTGATGTAATAAAACAAAACATTGGCAATCGATAGCTTATTCTTAATGTATTTATTGATGTACGACAAAGTGTACGAATGCACGTACAATTACCATATGTCGAAAAAACTGTTTCATAGTTTAACCAAACAAAATATAAAAACTGTGAATCAGAAATTAATCAAATCTTTTTACTGATTTGATTAGCAATACTTCAAATAAATCGTTACTCCAAACCATATGTTTAATAAATCTCGAACTAAATTAGTTCGTACATTTCAGGTTTATCAAATTATCTGAATTCAAAGTATTTAACATTTGAAAAGCAGTGTCTCTTATAACAATATAAAATAATAATGTGAAACATAGAAAACCGAAAATAGTTTCAGTTATTTAATAAGTTTTCAAAGTAACAGTTTACATAATTACACAAACAAAATAAAACAAATGATTAAGAATATTTACCTTACTCTTGTTAAAAACAGCCTTACACTCCTTGATTGAACAAACATGTCGCCGCCGTGGCTAAGTTCCAAAATAAGAAGTTTTGGCATGAATTATCAATATCTTTTATGAAATATGATATGCACCTTTTGTGACTTGATGAATAAAATATTTTCAATGAATGCATTCATGTAAATTTATGAAACATAATACATGGAAAGAAATGTTTTTAAAACTGTTTAGATATAAATAAAAATATATTTAACACTTATTTCCTAATAGTATTTTAAAAAATAAACATAACTACGGAAGCCCATTGAGGCCGTTTTGAGTTAGAAATTAGAAGGCAATAATTCGGACTTAGATGTTCGACCTGATATGTTAGATCATAGAACTTAGGTCTTAGGACTTAGAAGTTCTGTAAAGGCGAGGAAACGCAATATTATACTGCAAGATAGACAAGAAGATGTAAGTGAGATAAACTTCTTATTAATTTTTTTATTTTATTTTTTATTTTTAAGCAATGCAGAGATATAGGTATTAGCTAGTATGATTAGGTGATTAAATATGTACAATTAAAGGGCCGGGTAAAAACAACAAAAACACAACCAATTTAAATAGGAGGAAAAGGTCGACCAAACTCCTAAAGTGGCTACATTTTAGCTAGTTCTAGCAGTTTTAGTCATGCCTGGCTACCAAAGAAATATTCGATTAGCGACACAAGGTCAAAACTGATACTTGTTGCCTGTATTTGTTTAATATCCGAATTGTCAAATTTGGAACAGTATTTAGAATTGTGTAACTTTTAGTTTTATAATAATTAAAAACGTCGTTTATGTTGAATGTGTATTAAAATAATTTGATTACTTTTCCTACTGCAGAATCTTCTTTATCCGGACGAAAATGGTCTCTAAATGGGAATGGATGTTTGGAATTTACCTGTTTACACCATAACTTGTGTTGTATCACGGATTTAGCTGTCATTCTCAGAGGGTCGCATTAAACAAGACTAGAACTAATGATCATTGTGTGGCAGGTAATGGTTATGACAAGGTAAAGTCATATGTATTCTGAATTTACGTAGCGATCAGTACAGTCGACGCATTTTATGGCTCGAAGTTTCAAACAAAAACAACTCGCCCGCAATGATAGCGTTATACTACCTAAATACATTACACGAATTAAGCATTGCCACAAAGCTCCTTCGTGCTAGCATTGCTTCAACCTGTTTTCAGATATAACGGCACAGAGTATGGAAAGAGTGTAGCAAATCAGCGTATAGCATCCTGGTGGGTACTCCTTCGTAGACAACGGTGCACTGGTGGATTTCCTTTTTCAAGGATGTTATTGATTTTAAAGTTTGGTTATAACAAATCGTGTACACATTGAATGCCTAAGATATTTTTATATGGATCTAATACAAGCAGAACTTGACATGATAGCTCAGCAGCGGAACACTCATAATATCCGAGCACAAACGAATTTTGAAATAGCTTACGGAAAACATGAAAAATATAATGTATTTGTACCTTTAATCTATGGTGGACATAACTTTGGTCATTGTGTTAATCAAAAAGACTACAGACATGCCAGGAACTTTATTGATCACTGTACTAGGTCAAAATCACAGTGGCTACTTATATAAAAGTTAACGTGCGATTCTGATCAATATTTGATGAAGTGATCAGCGGTGATACCGATTGGGGTCACCTTGATAGATATTTAAGTGTATTAAAAGACAAAGATTTGTCTTATATAGTATTAAAATGTATTGCCATTTGTTACAATTTCTTAAGGTGACCAAGAAGCATAATTCAGCACGAATGATTGATGGTGTGACCTGCTCTTGGCTACAAATTGTGGCGGGTGATCAGTATATCTCCTGAAAAGGCACAGTATAATTTGACAAAGGAAGTATATGGCATTTACATTGGCAGAGTACCAAATGGTGGCTAATCAAGGAAATGTTGAAAAAAATCCATAGCGATTTTATAAAACCGCATGCCTTTATTGTTGGTTTAGCTTCATGTTCCCTTAAATTTCAGTGATAAGGCAAATATACAGATTGCAAAAGTATTTTTAGTTATGCAATGTTTTCCTTTGTATTGGCCTTTTGATCAAAGAAGTGTTCTTCATCAGAAGAACCATATCAACACATTTCTTTAAACGCGATACATCTGCACTTGTGCTTGACTTTCAGACTAGATAGAATGTTGGGCAAACAGCTTTAACAATGCGGTGCAGACAAAATCAAAGTATAACCAAGCAGAGACCTCGTCTTGATCAACAAAAAGAGGGCTTCAAACAGGTGATCTAAAGGGGGACCGTGGCAGTGAATGACGTACAAAGTGGCCCAAACTTGGAAACTTAGACATTTGAACTTAACCATTAAAACTTAGACATAAGAACTTAGTTATAAGTACTAAGACATTTGAACTCAGTTATAAGAACTTAAAAAATCGGTTTTGAAAAAGCTAAAAGAAGGAAACGTAACTTCATTCTCATACATAAAATTTTATTCAAGTAACAGTAAACTACAAAAATTGATACAAGACACATATCTCATAAGTCACTTAAAAGAATATCACATTCTTGACAAGAACCTGTCGATGGCATACACCCGTGCCATACTCAATAAATAGTTTATACTTCAGCTCTGTTAAATAATATTAAGAAAAACAGTGCGTATTATCTCATGGATACCTTGAGCCAAACGGTTAAAGAAATACCGAAGTTATGATAAAATTCAATAAAATCTATACTGAGCATGTGTGAATATAAGCCAAAATAGTTCAAGAAATTCTGAATTTTGGTAACTCTAATTAATGAATATTATACTATTCAACCTTTGCTAAGCACCATCTGTTTGAGTGTGAATACTTTTAAGGATAATTTTATTAACGCCGTGCGAAAGGTTATAAATGTGATTTAATGTGTTATCAATCCAGCTGAAGGACGAATTTAACCCTATAAATGGGGTTTACACTGATTTGTGCAAAAGAAGAGGATAACCCCTCTCTTTGAAGATTTCAGAAAATGCAGCGTGTTTTCCAAATTTGTTTTTTTTTTGTTTACAATTTTAGACTTAATACCGTGTGTGTGACCCGTGACTATCAATGACATTTTGGCAGCGTATTCTTATACTGCCTATTAGGTTTCTGATCATTCTAACAGGTATGGCTGCAAATATTCTTGGACCAACTTGGCTCCAAGTTCCACCATGGTTCTGTGTTGTAACTTACGATCTAAAATTTTACCTGCAGCTCCTTCCACATGTGTTCTATTGGATTTAAATCATTCGAACGAGATAGCAAGTTCATGCAATCAATATACTCCCTCTCTATGTAGTCCTGGACCACCCTGGCCCTATGGGGCCGAGAATTATCGTCCATTAGAACGAACTAATCGCCGACTGCTTCAGCATACAACTTAACCTGGTTGTCTAAGATGTCGTCGATGTACATCTGAACCTTGCAGATGATGATGATGAAACTAATACACAAATGAAAGTCTGTACCACAAAACTATACACACTTATAAAAAAATCTAAACAAGATTCACCAAGTGTGTCTCCATTAAAAGATAAAAATTCAGGTTCTCTCAAAATCAATAACACTGAAAAAGCAAAAAATCATAATAAACAATTTAAATCAGTTTTCTCACCAATTAAACCGCTAACATTTAAAGATCAATGCATACAAAAAACCTCAAGACTCTACTTATTGTCAAGTTACCCACAAATGAGGATGACATCACCATCAGTAGGGCAGGTGTACTAAATCCTCGCCAACCTCCAAAAGCCAACCCCAAAGCTGCCGGCCCTGACAACCCCTTAGAGAATTGTCCTGAAAGGAGCTGAGAGAAAAGATTGTTGGCACATCGTTGCACTTCTTTTCCAAAAATTCCCTGACCACCCGTTTTAATATTCCCAATGTTCTGGGACGAGTGGCAAACGAATGCCCTGTCTTACAAAAAAAGGTGATACCCAAGTGATCAAGAAACTATCGCCAAATTTCTCTTACTTGCACCCTCTGTTAAAAACACTCTTGTACACATAGTTGCCTCTCAAAACTATCCTCTCACTTTACCCCCCACAATACTCTATGATCTTCAGCAAGGATTCAGAGGAAGACGATTTCATGTGAGATACAGCTCAAATTGAACTTACTGATTACCTTTAACAACCTCTCAAATGGCAAACAAAAAGATTTCATACTACATTTGTACTTGACTTTCAAAAAAGGTTTTGGGTTTAAAATTAAAATTTTTAAAACCCCTTGATACCCCCCCAAGAAACCCTTTTTTGTTTGTTCCAAATTCTAAACTGAATTTTACAGCCCTTTCCTTTTCCGAGCCAACAAGTTGTGGTTTTGGACTGCTCCTTTGAAGTTCCCAGTTACTCTGGAGTGCCCCAGGCTATGTCCAAGGGCCCCTCTGTTTCCTTCTATATATCAACAAGCTACCATCGTCTGTCAGATTATTTGTAGACGACACTGCTGTATACATAACCATCAATTCCTCCTAAAACCCCCAACTCTCCAACATGATCTAGACAATATGGTTCTGTGGGAGAAGCAGTAGTTTATCCCTTCAAAATGCAAAGCTATCCATATCACCTAAAACAAAACTATAATTAAACACAAATATGCTTCATAGCAAAGAACTAGAGTATGTTACAAATGCTAAATATCTCGGACTAGATCTGTCTGCTGACCTTAAATTTAATACATATAAATCTCGAATAACTTCCAATGGAAACATATTCCTTGGCTTTATTAAAAGAAATGTTATTACTTAAAATGAGAAAGTGAAAGAACTAGCATACAAGTACCTGGTCCGGCCACAGGTTGAATATGCTTCAACTATTTGGTCTCCTTACACTTACACTTAAACCAATATTGACAAAGTTGAAATGATCCAGAGACGTTCAATCAGATCGGTTAAAAGGGATTACTCCCCTCACATTAGTGTAACAGCCAGGAAGAACTGGGCTAGCGATCTCTTGAACATCGCAGATTGGACTGTAGACTGATACTGTTTTATAAGATATACCAGAACCTAGTTGCAATTAATCTCCAA